AGTTCTTTGGAATTCGCTTCCTTCATCTTGCTTTCCTGATTCATATAATTTGCAATCTTTTAAGTCATCAGTCAATCGTTATCTTGCTCTACAGATTTAGTCTTTTCTCTTCCAGTAACTTCCAACTCTTATAGTGGTTGCTTGCAGCCTTGTTGGAAGTGAAGATGTTAAAAAAAAAAAAAAAAAAAAAAAAAACTCTAATAATTACAACATATGTATAATTGTGTGATGATTTTGGCTGGCTTCTACAACATAAATAAATAGTAAACATAAAACAATAATAAAACAAGTAAAAAAAAATTTTATATATATATATATATATATATATATATATATATATATATATATATATATTTGTATATTTTTTTACTAAATCACAAATATTTTTCTTGATTTAGTAAAAAATTATACAAATATTTAATTTTCTGATAGTCCGCAATTTCCTTGTCATGCAGAATTGTAATCTTGCCCATTTTTAATAGCCTGGCTGATGCGGCTTACAGATTTCTGTGAAATTTGTAGTCTTGAAGCTATTTCTTGTTGTGAATACTTTTTTATTCAAGCAATGTTTTAATAACAGCAACTTTTCTAGGTGAAAGATCTTTGGTTCTCCCCATAACCTCAAAATCTGTGGAAAAAAACAAAACAAATTGTAATCAGACATATTATACATTTTAAAATGGAAGTTATAGCAAATAAACATATGTTAATGGTTAACCATAATAATTTAATTAAACTCACCTTCAGCGTTTTGATGAATGTATTTACAGTATAAATTCTCCTTACAACAGCTGATTGATCACCTTTATGTTTATAGCAGTGTTGGCAACCCACCAAGCTTATGCATGGTTACCAAGTTACTAAAGGCTAAAGGCATGCATACAAAATATTAATGTAACTTTAAATTGTTCAATAAATTCCTTTTAGAATATAAAATTTATTTTTATTTAAAAAAACCAAGTTGAGTTTAATAATTTTCACACCTCTGTAACTCTTCTAGTAACAAATTGAGTTAAAATTTCACAAAACCACTAATCCCTCCCCTCCCTCCCCCACCAAGCACCACAATTTATGGACGACCCTATATACAACTTAAAATATGAATTTTAAACTTTTGTTATCAGTAAATCTCTTAGTATTCTTTAAAAGCACAGTATACTATAGGTGATGCATGCCATAATCACACCGCAAACTTTTAAATTAGTTTATATACTGGAGCGTATGTCATATGCAGCGTAAGTTAATGTGTCCCAGCAATTTTTATGACAGATGCAGCGTAGCTCCTGGTAAAAACAGGGGTTCTAGACTAGTTCTGGACAATAAGTATTCAAATATTTTTCTTTCATATTAAAGAATGTCGGACTTGTAAACTAGTCAGCTGCGACTCACTATCATCGTAACATAGCACTACATCTCTATTTTACTTATTAGAAAAATTAAATTATTAAAACTTTTTTTGCAATTAATGCTTATATTATGTACACATTTGTACGCACATACAAATAATGAATTTCTTTTCAAACCAATGAAATATTCGTAGTTACACAAAATGGGTATATATTTCCGTACTTTTTAAATATTTAACTGGAATTCTATTCATTTATATTTTTTGCTTTTTTTACCATGTATGATGGAAGAAAAATATTGAAATTATAAATAAAATTGTCTTGGCTGTGGCTGCACATGTGTATGATTAGTTACTGTTCTAAATTTGACGCCACACATAAAATTATTTCTGTTCTGGCAAAGAGCCTGATGTTACATAAAAATAGACAAATACGCTGTTTTTTCATTATTTAACTGAAATTTATAAAACATAAACTTGAACTGTTATACACTTACATATAAAGTATATAATAATAAAGAATACTGTTATAAGGAGAATAATAAAGCATACTATTATAAGAATTAAAAAATAAGTATATAAAGTTAAGAGTACGAAAATGATTGTTTTGTAAGGTCTTTAGATTTTGTACTGTCTTCTGTACCTAAATTCAGGCATGGCTTTTCTTGATTTTAGAGTGGAGAAAATAAATCTGTCCTGTTTGTTATGAAAATACAAATAGTTAATACAAATTTTTTTGATATAATACAAATCCACACACTTTCTTTGAGATCTCTGTAACCAATTTTACTGTTCTTTCCGCAGCTTGTGTGTGGCATGGGAACTTTGTAAAAGTCCAGTCAATCAGTATAGGTTCTTTTAGCATTTTTTTCAAATCTTCTGTAAAGTCATTATTTAGTACTGGTGGTAGAGTAACTTTGTTGGACAAACAGTGGATTAGATCAATGTAGTCATTCGCTTCAAAGTTTATTTTTGGAATATAAGAATTTCTTGTCCCAACGTTTCCAACCATCTTAATAGATTCTTGTGCTTTTATCACTCTTTGTATGCCGAGGGTTCTGATGTGTTCTCTTATCAGTTAGCATTGCAAGCAGAATGTTTTCTGGAGATGCAAAGTAAGCATTCCAAGAAATTACTTGGTCAATGACGTTGCGGTTAACTTGGTCCAAGTATCTGGATGATTGAATTAAGTTGTAAAGATGCCACACTCCATCCTTAATTGAATGATGGATTTTAATAGGAAACCAAGAAGGTGCATACACTCTGAGAACGAACTCTACTATGTTACATAAGTTATCTGATGGTTCTGCAATGGAAACATACAATCTTAATATTCTGTTGGCTGTTGTCAACCAGCCTGAAATATTTAGGGGCCTGGATCTTGCTTAGCAAGTCCTGGAGGACATATCCCTGAGCTAATGACGAGAGCAATATCCCTCAAATACCTCTGGTCTTTACTCAAATTTGGTATATTAACTGATAGCAAGGTGCAGTTAACTGGCTCAAATGTTACCACTGGAAGCAGCTCATATGCCTTTAAAGATTTTCCAATGCAACCGGTGTAGGAAGTAGATCCAGAGGTAGGACCATTAAGGAGTTCAAACAAGTATTTACAACCGTTCCATCACACCCTATAACAAGAACATTGTTTAAACCTTTGCTCACTTCTGATGTGATATAGTTGTAAATACTTTCAGCAATGGCTAGACTTGTTCCTGATGCTGTTGTAACATAGCCAACTTAGCTAGATCCTGGTTCTTTCACTAAGGAATAGTGCTTCTCTATAATTTCTGTCTGATAGTATTTATCCTTCTCTTTTTCTGTTGACAATATTTTGTCACGTCAATGGTCAAAGTAAAGACCTACTAAATGATCTTTATCAGTGTTTAATTATTTCACTTTTAAGTTCTTCCATGGTTTGATACCTCTCTCAAGCAGTTTTATTCTTATCAATCACTAAAGATGTATCCAATTTACTGACTAGGCCTACGTCGTGTAAAATGCTAGTAGCTATGGCAGCCGTGACTTGGAGCAATACCCCAAATCTTTGAATTATTAAGGCGGTGTTAGAAAGTTTCATACGCATTTGCGAAAAAGATGAAGCTGACTGTCTGGGATTATAGTCGTAGTCATCAGGTTTAGGTACCTCATTCTCATTCATTGTCTTGTAATCTTTACAGAAACTTGACAATGATGAAGGCTTATCATCTTGCAAATCAAGCGATCCAATGCACGCTAAGCGCTTTGTTCTCTGATCAGCAAGAAATGTTTGTTCTTTAAAGGGGATCTTGGATTCTTTTGGGCAATTGCAGTCTGTAAACGTAGAACACTTACAAGCTGCTATATCAAAAAGAAAGTGTGAAACTTTAAACTTCTCTTCTCTTCTTTCTCAACTCGTGCTTTAGTTGTCATGCTTTTCTCTTTTCTTTTATAAACAGACTTGATATTGATACAAAATACAGACTTGATATCGATACAAGATTTGTGATATGCATCAATCATATCAATTACACGTTTCTTTGAAACTGTTGGAATGGAAGCATCAAAATACAGCAGTTGCAGCTTTTCACAAACGAAATGTGATATGGAAGAAAATGTAGGCTCCTTATTACCAGTTGTTTCAGTTCCAAGACGCCACTTTTTGTAAATTAAATATTAACGTAAATAATATCTTCTTTTGTTGGAGGTATCTTATCTGTTGGTGATCTGAAAATTAAGCAGTCTAATGCTCTTCGCTTTGAAATTTTTGAAGATTTTTCCATGTTTTGTTTCTCACTGCTGTTTTCTTTCTTACTCACACCGTGAAGCAATAACTTATAATAATTTATTAGTTGTAAAAATGTAATTATTGGTTAATTACTTAATAATAATAATAATTTGGAAAATATTCTGCCAAACTAATATTAATTACCGTATTTGCTCACGTATAAGCCAAGAAAATTTCAAGACAAAATAGCAACTTCAACTTGTGCAAGGATTATAAAAAATACAAATTAATTTTTTTAACTTGAATTTTATAATGTTAACGTAATGTATACTTGTATATAATACAAAAAGTTACTGTCTCAAAAGATAAGCAATATTAGAACAAAAGAAATCGAAAAAAGAATAGAAACAGCTGCACTTACTCCAATTGAAATATGTACTTGGTTTTGAAATTACGTTAAAAAAATTAACTTTATAAAAAATAAAACTATTATAAAACAACAACAAATTTTGTGCGTAATTTCAGGCTCTTTGCCTGAACAGAACATATTGTCCGTGGGGCGTGAAATTTTGCACAGTAATTAACCATACATAGACGCATTTTTTGCACACTACCACAAAGTACTGTGACGTTTAAAAAATATTTTTTTAAATATATAAATATATTGATATTTTAATTAATTTGTGAAATTTCATGCCTTTTGCCTGGACAGAAGACATTGTACTAAAGTGACGAAATTTTGCACAGAAGTTACTTATGTGTAGAGAAAAGCTCTACCCTGAAAGCGTTATGAAAAATTTTGTTTTTTCGAGCCCCCACTATAGTATACTTTTTCAATAGTTTGCTAATAAAAAAACTTTAACTTTTTTTTTATTACAAATAAATTTATAAATTTGATTTTTAAATATTTAAAAAAAAAATTTAATGTTTTATTTGTTATGATTTTAGAGTGTCTTTAAAACTTTTCAACAAGGGCCTCCTGGACCACCTGGACCACCTGGCGATTATTACATAAAAAAATGTGAGTTCAGAACCAAAATAGTATCATCTCCCTATAAAAATGATGTCAGTTTATCTATGGTTGAAGTTGAGGCTGAAAGCAAAGAGGTTTTTTATTTTATTGTTTTTATTAGCTTTCATGTATCTATACCTGCAGATGTGTTTAGCTGTATTATATGTAGACGTTTTTGTAATTTAAAACCTGCAGATATATTTGAATCAGTTATTCCTGTAGTTATATTTTCAGAAGTATTTTTATTTATAATACATCCAGGCGTATGTACTATGTAGATTTTTTAATACACCTTATCAACAATTATTACCTTAGGACTTAATTATTGGAGTTACTTGTATGGGAGGCGAAGAAAATGGTTTGATTTACGAAAATGTTGGTAATAAACCTGTTTTCAAATGCAGGTGTGCTGGTGCGCCCAAAACCAAAGCTTTTTATACAGATGAATTAAAATGTCGAGCCCAATACTGGGTGTGTCCAATTTAATATTTAATAAAGTTCAAAATCTCTTAGTGGTTAATTCTATAGGAGGTTGTTTTAATTACATTAAAATGAAGAAATAAAAATTATATTTTATCTTATCGGATCAATGGTTGTTATTTATTCAAACTTTTTATATATATCAAAAATTTGATTATTTTGTAAATATTTTTCTAACAGTTTTCTATAAAAATATTTTTGTAAATATTGTATATAATTGAAAAAAATATTTTTTCAAACAATTTTGTTTTCATTGTTTTGATTGGTGCAATGGATGTTAAAAAGTATTCGGTTTACTAAACTAAACCCCAGGTTTCGTTTGGAAAAACTTTCTTTTTTAATGTATATCAATCAGTAGTCTTTAAACTTGTTGCAATTATTTTAAATACTTAGTAGTTATAAAATATTAATTTGTAAAAAATGTATAAAAGGACAAAGTTTATATTATTTATGTAACATACATATAGTGCACACCCGTTATTTGGTACATTTGCATTTCTACGTTGAGTAAGGCGTTTTGAAAAACGCCTTATTCAACGTAGTTAATAAGGCATTTCGTAGGCTTTCCATTAATTACGTCAAAGAAATAGGTGGAGGAAGAGTTGGAATTTTTTGGAAAATTATTGACATGGGGGAGTTGAGGTCAAGACAAGTTGACGTCAACAATGTTACTTTTTTAAATGAATTTAATTACTTTAAAAAAAAGTAAAATTAGACATCGTGCCTAATTTTACTTTTTTAAAAAGTAAAAGTAAAAAAAATCATCATCATACTTGTAACTTCATTAGATGTTATTCTTCACATACTTCATTATAAAATATTCTTTACCATAATCAATTTAGATTCAAATCTGACCATTCCACCGATCATGCAATCACTCACCTTGTTTGAGAATTTTTTTTAAATCGTTTGATGAAGCCAAGTATACCCTAGGTTTTTTCATTGATTTAAGTAAAGCTTTCGATATAGTCAATCATCAAATCCTTCTATCAAAACTCAAAAGTTTTAGTATAAAAATACTAACTTGTCCTGGTTCGAGAGTTATTTGACTAATAGGAAGCAGTATATAGTAAATGATGAAGGAAAAACTAATTATGAGACAATTAAATGTTGTGCTCCTCAAGGATCAATTTTAGGAACACTTATATTTCTCGTTTATAGAAACAATTTAAATAAATTTTCTAACATTTAAATAAAACTTTGTTTGCAGATGATACCAGCTTAATTTATTCAAATAAAGATATCAATATATTATTTCAAACAGTAAACAAAGAACTAGACCAATTAACCCAATGGTTTAAACCAAACAAATTATCTTTAAATGTTACTAAAATAAAATACACTTTTTTTAAAATAATAATCTTTTTAAGAAATTTTTATTTTTGCGTTGTTTATTCTTTACTTTTAATTTTTACTGTTTATTTGCTTTTACTGAATTGTCAATAAAAAGTATTATAAATTTAAGTAAATAAGTTAAACTATAAATTAGGGATGTACCGAAGCCAAAATTTTGCCGAAGCCGAAGCTTCGGCCGAAGTCACTCTGCCGAAGCCGAAGCTTTTGCACTCTCAAAGGTAAAATTTGCTATCTTGCAGATCTAGCTATCTAGGGATAATATTATTTGCTGAAAAACATTTTTAAAATTTTACTACAATTATTATATGCACTGCATGTAGAAAGTATATGTTCTGCATTTATAAGTATTTTAGCGCGCAAGGTATTTTACTCAAATCATCAAGGGTTTTTTTTTACTTACGCAAAGTCATAGGATTTTAGGATGTAGCAAAACCTTGTTTGAACAAATTTAATATTACATGAAAAAAAGATAATTAGCTAACTAGTAATTAATAATCATAAATTAGAAGTTGAACATTACATTAGTTTGTACTTTGCATTATAATAAAATTACCATTTAGTAATTACCATAAATTAGAGTAAATGAGGGAGGTTGTTTTTATTATACTCATTAGTTTATTACGTTTAAATTAATTATCCATTGTTAGAAATCAGGCAAACTATAGTTTAAAAACGTAATCTGTTCTCCATGCTCAGGCAACAGCCTGTTTCTTTTGGTTTAAAATATGTTTGCCGTTGTGCTGAATAGAGGTTCACTCTTTACGGATGAAAGAGGTGCGCACAAAATTTTCATTGAAAACTTTGCCGAATCCCACTTGTTAGAGTCTTTATTGGAGCAGGTGTAATTGTAAACACCCCACCACTTATAAGGGCATTCATTTTTTAGTAATGTTGATAGGCTAAAGTCAAAGTTGACTTCGTCCATGTTGAATCAAAACTATGAATCAATTTAAAGTTTCAAGTAAGAAAAAAAACTCTAATTCAGCTTGTAAATAAACATTTATAGTTGATAAATAATTATTTTTTGCATGGAAAATTAAAAATATTAAATGCAACTATACCCGTAACTACAGGAAGAAACGGCCTGCCAATATATAGTTTGTGCCTGCTTACAGCAATCTTTCCATAATATAAATAATATAATTTTGTCTACAGCAATTCTGGTGTGCAAATAAACCTGAAAATAAATTTCTATTAACAGGGCTAAATGCAACATAATAATTAATTTAAAAATTAACATCAATTTTTAATTATATTTGTAATAAATTAAAAAAATTACAATTTAATTTAGATATTTTTTGTTCGTACCATTTTCCTTTTTAATTTTGAGTTTTTCTTCTATGATTTTTACTATTTTACTTTTTTTCCCCTCCATCAGTGTTTTCATATTTCTGTGAAGCATTTTCATTTATACCTATTTTCTCTAATAAGCTATATATGCCCATGCTTTCTTTTTTGATTGGATCATTATGATCGGAGTCTTTAACGAAATTAACTTCTTTTGCTTGTTGTAAGTGATCATTTACAACAAGCAAGCAAATTTTATATCAAGGGTACTACCGTTTTCATTTTGAGTATCGATACTCTAGAAGAAAGCAGTAGTACCCTATATAAAATTTCCTTAAACATACTATGATCTGTTTCATAAATTTTTTATCTAAAACGAGGTTTGAGAATCATTGCAATTTCCAGGCGAGCATTATCTAGAGGAATGTCAGCAAGAGGATTATCAAGAGGATTATCTAGAGGAATGTCAGCAAGAGGAATGTCTCAGATCAGGTCAGGTTTATCCTGCTACTGGTAACATGTAACCCAGTACAATCTGCTTCATGTCCTGCTGCTTTGTAGGATATGCCTTTTTAGGCAAAGGTTAGGAGATGCAAACTCCGACATAAAACACCCCCTGCCTTGGGGCTCTTGGTTGAGTAAAGGCTAGAGATGGTGTCTCGATAAAAATACTCATCTTGGACAGATGTTAAATGCATCCGGCTGCTGTCTTTGCAGATGTTAAATGCATCCGGCTGCTGTCTTATTTTAATACATTGTTTCCAATTTAGGATGTTGAACGCTGGATCTTCTTGACTCGATGCATGGGTTTTGCTTGTGTCTCTCTTTTTATGACTAGGCAACTCATTCTATTATCTGCAAATGAGGGTACAGCTCTAAAACTCAGTTTTATGGTACTGAGGCCGGCTGGTAGTCATGTTTCCCGAACTCTGTGGTAGCTCTCAGAGAGGCTGATTCCATCAACAGCTGAAATATATCAGAGTACTAACAGTGCCATGTTGCGCATGGATGGTGTCCCTGTTTTTACTTTTGGTGTGCATTGCCAAGGCCACATTGGAGCCCTTTGTTACGGCTTAGGGTTTATTAGTGGAAATGAGGCAATTGCTTGGGCTATAAAACAGTGTACTGAGTACTATCTATGTTTCGAGTCAAGTTCTTTAACAAATTTAAAAATGAATAAAGTAACAAAAACTATAAAACACAAAAACCACAGTCATCACCAAGTTCGCTATACCTATCATTCACCAATATTCGTGGTCTTCGAAGTAACTTTTCTTCTGTCGAGTCTTATCTCTTGCAAAGTTCACTAGACCTACTTGCTCTTTGTGAGACTAATTTGAGTTCAGCTGTCTCATCTTGTGATTTTAGTGTTGATGGTTATCTTCCTTTAATTCGTAAAGACTCCAATAGTCACATGCTTGGCCTAGGCATTTACATTCGTAAGAATTCACCCATTTTTTGAGAAACTAGGTTTGAATCCACAGACTACTCTTTTATGTGCTTTCGTTTAGCACCACTTCACTCTATCACTTTTCTCTTTGTTCTATATCGCTCTCCTTCATCTCAAGACTGCACTCTTCTTGATGTTATTTCTAATTATATTGACCAAGCCCTCATTCATTATCCATCAGCCAATATTGTTGTTGTCGGTGACTTTAATGTTCATCACACTGAATGGCTTGGCTCTAGTGTTAGTGACTCCGCAGGCATTAAGGCCCACAATTTTTGCCTTTCTCAATCTCTAACTCAAATAGTCAACTTTCCAACTCGCTTTCCAGATAACCCGAATCATTTACCTTTTCTACTCGACTTATGTCTTGTTTCTGATCCTAGTCAGTGCTCAGTTTCTCTACACTCACCCTTAGGTGCCTCCAATCATGGTTTGGTCTCTCTAAAACTATTATCTCATTCTTCTTTACCATCAGAATCCTCCTATCATTGTACATCTTACAACTACCTTGAAGCTGACTGGGACTCTTTCCGTGATTTTCTTCGTGATGGCCCCTGGGTAGAAATCTTTCGTCTTCCTATTGACAAATGTGCTTCTTACATAACTTCGTGGATTCAGGCTGGCATGAAATCCTTTATTCCCTCTCGACGATTCCAGGTCAAGCCTCACTTTTCTCCATGGTTTTCCTCACATTGTGCTGCTGCTATTGCCAATCGAAACCATTACTTCCATATCTATCAGCAAAACAATTCTCCAGAAAACAGATGTCTGTTTATTACTGCTACGAACCATTGTAAAAAGATTTTGTCTAACGCCAAAGCCCGCTATTCTCAGATTATGAAATCTCGTATTTCATCACAAAAATTAGACTCTCGTGACTTCTGGAGAATCTTTAATAGTATCAATAATAAGGGCAAGTCAGCAATTACACCTCTTTTGTACGGTTCAGACTTTGTCACCTCACCTAAAGACAAAGCTGAATTGTTTGCCAAGAACTTTTCATCAATATCATCTTTT